AAACGCTCGTAAACCGCACCACCGGTCTCAAGAACGCCAACGATGCCCTCAAGGGCCGGATAGTCGAGGTTTCGCTCGCCGATCTGCAGAAGGATGAGGACCATGCGTTCCGCAAGGTCAAGCTACGCGTCGACGAGGTGCAGGGCAAGAACTGCCTGACCAACTTCCACGGCCTCGACTTCACCTCGGACAAGCTGCGCTCGCTGGTGCGCAAGTGGCAAACCCTCATCGAGGCCAACGTCGTCGTCAAGACCACCGACGACTACCTCCTCCGCCTCTTCGCCATCGCCTTCACCAAGAGGCGGCCCAACCAGATCAAGAAGACCACCTATGCCGCATCTTCGCAGATCCGTGCCATCCGGAAGAAGATGACCGAGATCATGACGCGTGAGGCGAGCAGCTGCACGCTTTCTCAGCTTACCCACAAGCTGATCCCCGAGGTCATTGGCCGCGAGATTGAGAAGGCCGCGCAGGGCATCTACCCCCTCCAGAACGTATGTTCACGGTTCTCAAGATTGTGATTGTAGTATCAGGCTGACACTTCTCAGGTGCACGTACGAAAGGTCAAGCTGTTGAAGTCCCCCAAGTTCGACCTGGGCGCTCTCCTCGGTCTACATGGCGAGTCTTCGGCGAACGATTCGGGAGAGAAGGTACGTTCCCACCCCCTCCACCACTCAAGCCCTTCGAAACCCATCTTAACAAATTACAGGTCGAGCGGGAATTCAAGGAGACTGTCCTCGAGGCCGTCTAGATTCAGCTTCGCACAAAAAGTGTGGGTTGCTGAAGTTTATGACGCTGGTTGTTGGGGCTCGGCTTCTTTTCTCATTGGCATCGGTCAAGGTGTTTTCTGTTCAAAGGTTATCAACACAATGACCAAAAATCGAATCAAGTAGCTTGAACTCATCACCCGGTTTTTGCTGCATGTCTTGGAATGAGGAGAGAGATGTCCGGGATGCAGGAGATGTGGAAGAGGTGCAGACGGAATGTTTGCGTGTGTGAGGATAATGAGACGGCTTGCCCAACATGCCCATCCCTTCGATTTTCTTGTGAAACTCGACTACCTCGAACTCTCGATTTTCTCGCCCTATATTCCCGAACTTCTAACCCCTACCAAATTACTGCTAACCATGCACTAACCCACCATCTAGACCCTTTCCCCTTCCCAACCCAAAAAGACCCACTCCCACACACCCAACTCCCGTCTCCCCAAAATGTCCAATATCCCATTTTAACACCCCATCCCCTCCCTTTCAAAACCCTCACACCTACGAGTTAGCGTATCCCCAGTCCAGCATAGCGCCCGCCCCGGCCCTGCGGCCGCTGCCGCGCCAACACACGTGGCTGTCTGGACACCGCTACATCCCAGATGCGAAAGTGGATCTGGAAATGTGGTTAACTTTGACTTCGGCCGGGGCCGGGCATGGCGTGGTTAGGGGATGTTGTTAGGGGGAGGTGAGGTGGCGGGGTTCACCGCTGTTTCGGGGGGGAGAGAGTGGGGGACAGAGGAATTGGGATGAGTGTTTGAGGCTGATCGGTGAGTGTGATGTTCTGTGAGGAGGAGCGGTGGCATGGTATGATGGGAGGGGAAGTGGGATGTTGGGAGTTGGGAGTTGGAAGGTCAGGGGGTGGTGGGCATGGGAAGAGTTGGTTGTGGGAGATGAGGGATGACGTTGAGGTTGTGATAACGGGTTCTGCAGGTTCGAACTTTGTGGTTTGAGTTTGGAAGCGTAGTGTATGCAGGGTGGATGCAGAGTGATTGCAGACGGTTTCGGAGGTGCAGTAGGATGTGGGATGACGTGTCTGTAGAGTTCTAGGGTCTGTGGTAGTGTGCGTAGGATGCAGTAAGTATGCCGCTACGAAAGCATCGTCCAACGTGTCTTATCTTGCTTTCCATCTTGCTGCGCATGTGCGGGCTCTTAGCTTGTTTTGATTACTTTGTCTTGCTTTGTTCACTGATTGGCGGGGAGTAGAGGTTGTAGTGTTCCGCTTTTGATATTTGATATAGTCGGCTTCATTTGCGCCTGCAAGTGTTATATGAGCCTTCTCTGCACCCAGGATCCTTACTCTTCGGTCTCCGGACTCGATTCAACCTTCGGAGCATCATCCTCTTCGTCCCACGTTCCTACTCTCAGCATTCGGACGCTTGGTGTCCTTTCAACAATCGTATACATCGCTAATCCCGGGTTCCCTCCAACGACTTCCCCATAAACTTCCTCTTCGTAAAGCTCAGCCACCATTTACTCGGCGTCGTCGCGCCATCCGCGTACACGCGAGCCAACAGCCGCTGCGCTAGCTCCTGCCGCATCTGCATGATGTACTGCCGTAGCTGCTCGGCCTGGCTCCGGTCGCGGGGTGCCTCGAAGGCTTGGTTGAGGGGGAAGGAGGCGTCGCCGGGGATGGGGAAGTTGGTGTCTAGGGCGACGTTTGTGACGGACTAGGTTGAGGTGCGAGTTAGCTTATGTGCTCGAGTATGTGTGTGTTCCGTGATTTGGGTCTTGAGGTGCTGCGAAACTTTGTCCTTCCCCGTAGTCTATTTTGACGGAATGGAGCATAGATTTTATAGGGAGGAATGTATGGTACCTTCTCCGCATCTCTCCGGCTCATTCCTGGCTTGATCTTCCCTAATATCTCGCTCACATACAGGATCCCATAGATGAGCACGCGGTCTGCGGGGCCCTTGATCTCAAAGTTGCGGAAGAAGGTGTTGGCGCGGAAAAGGGATAAAATCTCGTCTAGGGGATCGTAGGACTCGTGTGCGGCGTCGATGGTGAGGTCGGTTACATCGGCGGGGAGGGGTGGAAGTTGCATGGCGGGGCCGCGCGTGCGGGTTCGGAGGGGGAGGAGGGCGAAGTTGCCTAGGAATTGTTAGAGGGGTCATTTGAGAGCTCGCGCTGGAAGCTAGGGGAGACAAAGCATACCGATTAGCTGCTGATTTGGCTCATCGAGGAAGACGGAGTGGTAGGCCTATTTGTCGTTGTTAGTATTGTGGGAGCAGGGAGAATGAATGAAGGGGTTAGAGCGTACCGGCATGTTGGGTGTATAGGCCTACAGAAGGCGACAGATTGGGGGAAAGACGAGAATTGGGCAGCGTCTGTTCGTGTTGTGCTTACTGCGAAGCATTGATGTCGTATGTGGTGGTGAGCTCGTAGGGCTGAAGTGGGAGATTTATTACGCTATGTTAGATTGAGATAAGACCCGTAATCTCTTCTTCCAATTTACGCGTCCGAACTTCAGCATGTCGTCCGTATCGACATATCTCGTCTTTCAGCTTCCTCACACATTCCCCGTACAATTTCTCGTAACTCACTTCTTGTGCGAGAGCTCTCGTCTCCTTTTGTTTCCCCGAAACCTATTAAACCTCAAAAATGTCCGACTACGAGGATGAGATGGACGTTGACGCGCCCGCCATCGACGCCCCAGTCAAGTTCACCTCAGACAATACCAACTCGAAAGGGAAGAGAAGCGCTGCAAATCTACCAGTAGAAGCTGAAGACTCATTGCCATGGTACTTGTTCCTATCTCTACGTCGATGCTCTGGCTAATTGGCTTTTAGGGTAGAGAAATACAGACCAAATACTCTAGACGATGTGGAGGGCCACCAAGACATTCTGGCAACCATCAACAAGTTTGTAGATACAAATGTGCGTCCGAAGGACTTTCTGTTTCGACAGTAGAAACAATTGCTAACAGGCCTCAGCGACTGCCTCATCTTTTACTGTACGGACCCCCAGGAACGGGGAAGACATCGACAGTTCTCGCTCTCGCACGACGGATATACGGGACCAAGAACATGAGGCAGATGGTCTTGGAGCTGAATGCTTCCGATGACAGAGGTATCGATGTTGTCCGGTACTGGCCATTCTACCACTACCCTTTGGGGATCCGGCTAATTGTTCATAGAGAACAAATCAAGACCTTCAGCAGCACGAAACAAATCTTCTCCGCGGCACCCCAACCAGGTGACCATGTAACGCTTGCCACCTTCAAACTCATCATCCTCGACGAAGCGGACGCAATGACATCTACCGCACAGATGGCTCTACGAAGGATCATGGAAAAATACACCGCAAACACCCGCTTTTGCATCATCGCAAACTATACCCACAAGCTCTCGCCCGCACTACTTTCCCGGTGTACACGATTCCGATTCTCTCCTCTCAAGGAACCTGACATCCGGCGGCTAGTGGACAAAGTCATAATCGAGGAGAACGTAAACATCACACAGGATGCTACCGAATCTTTGGTCACATTGAGCAAAGGTGATATGCGGCGAGCTCTCAACGTTCTCCAAGCATGCCACGCTTCAAGCACCCCATTACAGATCCCGGGCAAACCAGCGCCAGATCCCAAGACCATTGTCCGGGATCAGATCACGCAAACTACAATATACGAGTGTATTGCTGCACCTCACCCAGAAGATATCTACCGGATAATGGAGTTGCTCTTAACAACATCGGATGTCACGCAGTGTGTCAAGACAATCGGTTCGCTGAAAGCGGCAAAGGGTTTGGCATTAGCGGACATTCTAGCCGCGCTAGGAGAGGAGTTGGTCAAACGGGACGTTCCGACGCAAACCATGGTGATGTGGATGGAAGGACTTGCGGAAATCGAGTACCGGCTGAGTGGTGGTGGAAGTGAGGCTATCCAGACGGGGGCAGCGATCGGGGTGGTGCGAACGGGTGTTGAATTGATGGCGAAAGGAAGAAAATGAAGGTTTGAAGCTTCTCAGGTGAACTTCAGCGTATGATATCCACGGATCTTTCATGGCGTCATGATTCGGTATCTCATTATGAGAGGTTCAATCAACCAAACTAATATACATCTTACGTTATGAAGCTTTGCTGATGACGAGCTGAAGAGTATCCTAGGTGGACACTGCAACGTTTTCTTATTTCACGACGGCCCAAAAGATGGATACTACTAACGGTCCGCTTGCAAGATACGATGTTCACTGCTCCTAAAACACTCAAGAAAATAAGTAAATACTACAGGTGCATCACGTCCGGCACCAAGGATCGAACTTGGGTCTTGTCAGGCGGGTCAACTTCTATCCACCTTATAGGTGGACCCGAAAAAATCCTCAAAACCTAACACCATGCTAACCAACTACACCACACCGGGTTAGAGACCACGGTGGTATTGACAGGCTTATGTGCCCATGGCCAGATTTTGGGGGGGGGAGTACGTTCTTATCCTATTGTCGCGTAAACTGACTTTCCTTTTCTCACAGAATGTTAGCTAGCACAGCAATGCTTTGATGAACATGCAGAATGGCAAAAGAATAAGACTCGTGAAAGTCCGGCGCCAAGGATCGAACTTGGGTCTTGTCAGGCGGATCCTGCAACAGGCTCCTATCCTGACATATTATAACCGACTAAACCACACCGGATTAGACTTGCTGCTGAAAGACGAACCTCTTAAGCACATGACGATATGACAAGCGTTCGTTCACAGCCTTCATGATATACTATCAACGCTTTAGTCGAGGCCTCATGTGGCAGAAACTAGGGGTCGAAACAGTCCGGCGCCAAGGATCGAACTTGGGTCCTGTAGGCGGATGTGGTGGTCATCCGTAGGGACATATCTCATGCTAGCTAACTACACCACACCGGATTGGAGAGAGAGAGAAAAGATAACAGACTTGTATTCCCATAGGTATGGTTTCTGTGCTTAGTCGTTTCTTTAGTGTCCAAAACCTGCTATACGATATCTCTTCTAGTAGCCCCTAGTGGCGATTTGTTTCCGGGAGCGTGGTGAAAGTGGTTCGGTTCCAACAATAGTTTGTCCGAAGTCGTGTGCCTGAGTGCTTAGTTTGAACAGAATGGCAAGTGATCACCCCATTCAAACACAGTGGTATTCTTTCAAATCACCACAACTATCCTAGTATAGATATAAGTAAGTATCAAGCGGCTTTTCTTTCGCAATTCAATTAAACTATGTTTCCCTCGTAGATCTTGCTCTTGTGATTTTCTACATAAGCAGCCAGCCTTCCAGACCTGCAAGTATTGCCACAACTGCTGAGGGGTTCCTGGTTTCCTCTTATTTCCAAAGGTCGTCCATTAGCTCAAGATTAAGATATTGAGATGGCAGAAGACAGACTTGGACGTACCCTTCGCTCTCCTCCGGATCAGCCCAATGAGGATGACAAGCCCAAACATGGCATTGGCAAGAGACCTGCTCAGAACCCTCCAGGAAAGCCTGCAAAAAAGCGTGTCAGGAGGCGTTCCAGGAGGCCCGCGTCATTGAATGCTCATCCGGATGACAAATATGACAGGAGAAAGCGCGAAGAAGGTGTTGAGAATGGTTTACAAAAGGGAGACATCATCGAGACGGACCTACGCAGTCCTTTCGTTCGCTTCAGCGACCCGTGCTTCGATACCAAAGCGCTCGGAATGCAGAAGGCCGACGACAAAATGGTCGGAGTGACGTGCAAAGCCGTCAAATGCTCTCGCGAGACCGCGCTCTATGTGTACGACGAACGACCATACACCTCCCCAGCCAAAGCAGCATTCATCCGTACCCATCTCTTCGCTCGCCTGCAGAAGATCAACTCTGCCGAGAATAAGAAAGAAAGGTACCTCCAGCGATCGCTAGCCCAGCAGGCTGATGAGTTGGTAACGTACCACACTCGCGACAATGGTACTCAACACTATGCCGATTTAAAGCCAGATGAGTCTGAAAAGTGGCACGAATGGGCAGTCTGGATTAGGACAGCCACGCGGTATGGCTTGATTCATAGAAAGGAAGACGGCTGCGAGTGCTGTAAGGTTGAGCTTCAGAAGAGGTGGCTCTATCCATGGTTGATGATGATTTAGATAGTCTTCTTTGAAGGAATCTAGAGTCTTTTCCGTTCATTGTGGCAACTCTAGCGGGAATTTAAACAAGTAGATGAACTTCTGGATTTGGGCGGTATTTTGTTTCCAACTATTAGATGGTGATACAAGTTTGCTTGAACTATTCACACTATGGATGAGGGAATTCTCGGGGCGAGATGTGATGAATCTACTACCTCCTCCACTTCACTAGTCCCTAGTCTGGAAGAATCATCCGTCTGTGATGCCAAACCTCACAGCGTATCTATTGCATTGAACCTCAGGTATTACGCAAAATGTCTTTCTCTTCGATCTAACCGCAGTCACCGACATGCCCGAACCTCTGAAAACTTTGAAGGGATATCTCAAAACACCCATGCCGCAATTTAAACCCCAAACATCGCCTAACCTTAGCAGACTTGGCTCGAAACGCTAGAGATGTTCGCTTTCGCCTCCTCTTCTTACTCTCCGAAAGCCCGCTGGACCTGCTTTTGGAAAGATCCGTACCGCTCATCTGGGCGATGGAAGAGCCCCGAAGCAGCAGAATTCGCAATCCACTTTGCCCACTCTACATTCGCTCTGACAAAATTAGGATCAAAACCACGGTACTCAATATCCAGGGTCTGCACCTCCTCCAAATACCCAGCTAAATAAGTGGAAATTTGGTCGATGGAAGGTATGTTTTGGTCGTTCTTGATGGCCTTAGCCGTCTCTATGTCATAAAAACGTTCTAGACCCTCCAGCATCCTGTTGCGATGAGCGAGGTTCGAGTTCGGAACGGTGGAGCGGAGTCTGGCGACTTCCTCCTCGCGACAGTGGTTCTCGCATTGCGTATCACCGGTATGAACGTCGAGTCCTTGCTTCGCAGCCTCGTTATGGGAACTTTGAGGTGGTGCCAAGGCGGTGAGCGTGTTGGTCTCAGCTGCAACCTATATTATACTTAATCAAATCAGCGCTAGACTCACTTTCATTCTCCCCGGGTACCGTAGAGTTAGATTCTCCATCTTTTGCTCGGCATCATCGATGTTCTGAGCTAGAAAGTGCAAAAAGGGCTGGTAGCCTTACCTGGAGGCCTTGGGAGTTTGATCCTTTGGCTGATTTGTTAGTAGACTTGTTACTCTAATTGAGTGGATTGAAGCCTTGCCTTGCTCTTGTGCGGCCTTTTGCGCGGTTGATGGAATGCTCTTTTGATTTTGGTCGGCCTCTTTCTGCTTCTGAGTTCTTTTTGGGTCAACGCGGAGGCTGTAAGGTTTCATGGTGATAATCGCTTTGGTAAAGAGTTGGCTTCCTGGGAGGGTGTGGAGTGTGTGCTGATGCCGTTTCTGGCGATGATTGGCAGAGTTGATGGAAGATATCGCTTTGAGCAGCTTACACAGAAGACTCATATAGAGCCAGAGAACAAACCTAAGTGGCGAACAGAATGTGTGTCCCCAAGCATGTGACAATTCCACACTGGTGCTCACGCTCACGAGCAAACTATCCACGGCGTCGAACTGACTTATGGTTTAGTGATTGTGGTCTGCGTGGCCGAAATTGTCCAAATAGCAGTATCACGGGCCTGGCTGGCTTTTCGCCTGATAAATCGAACTAGACTAATACTCTTTTCGCCAGTGCAATCAAGTGTACTCATTGTCTTTGCTACCATTGTGTGAGACAGAAAAGCGAAGCCGAAGTCAAGCCCCCCCCCCCACAGCTCAACAAACGATAATGAAACCTCAAGAAAGAACCCAAACCTAGCAGCTCCACCCCATATCTGTCCTCGCTCTCACTCTCCGCAAGCTCGCTTCACCTGCTCTCGAAAGGACCCGCACTGTTGATTCGGGCTATGAAATAGTCCAGCTGCTGCAGCGGTGGCCACCCACTTCGCCCACTTCAAACGACTTTCCACAAGGTCAGGGTCGAGGCCACGGAACTCGAGATCGAAGTACTTCATACTCTCTATGGAGCAGACTAGATCAGTGGCGATCTGTCTCGGAAGTAGCATGGGACTATTGTCGCTGGCGGTTTTGAAGAGCTGTTTCCGATAAAGGCGCTCCAGGTCATCGAGGAGATCATCACGCCGCTGGAGCACCGCGTCTGGTGCGGCTTCATGGAGTCTGGCGATTTCGTCGTCCCTGCAATGAAGAACGCATTGGGTGTCGGAAAGTGTTAGCTGTCCTAACAAAATCGTTTGGAGGTCCTCGACATCAGGATAGGTTGTGCCATCGTCATCCGCGACGGCATCATCGGTGGCACTGGAGTGAACTGTTCTTTTCGGAGTAGATGTCTCAGCATCCCCCATGGTGAAGTCTGTTTTGTCCATGTCCATGCGAGATGCATCCGCGCTTGTGGCCTGGGATTCCTCGGTCACCGAGCTTGAGTTCCGAGCTTGGAATAGGGTGATACTAGTGTCATCTTCATCCGCTACCTGAGAACCAAGGAATCAGCTTTCTTTTCACCCTCGAGCAACTCAGAGGTACTTACTGTGGTATCATCCACTCCTTGAACGGTATCGTCGACGTCCTGTGATGGAGTAATGTCACGAAACCCGGCGAAGTCGCGTGCTCGGGGTTCTCGAGAAGGTTGTATCTGTCCCAACATCTGAAACGATCATCAAGTTAGGATTGGCTTTGATGAGACTCGGAAATACCCGCTTGCTCACCTGAAGAGTCCCATAGTTCGGAGCCTTGAGCAATTGATCACTGGCACTGCTAATCCAGCTGGTTGAAGTCTTCCCTGCAGAATTGCTAGACGTTCCGGTAGTAGCATCGATCGGCTTGTCCTCAGCTTCCTTGGCCTTTCGAGACTTCTCTGGCGAGCGGCGAAGATTGTATGGAGGCATGGTAGAATAAGCTTTGGTATATTGATGAGGCTTCGAGGTGTTATAGATTAAGAATGGGCTTGAATGTCGTTGGCGGTTAGTGAAGTAGGTGGGATGTAGACTCGAGGAAGTTACAGGGCTGTTTATATGGCAATCGATACAAACCAGAAAGGTGAATATAATATCTGCCCCCAGAAAAGGGGAGGGATAAGCGCACACCCCCTAATTCCTCCACGCACGCCCCCTAATTCCTCCACGCACACCCCCCTATTGTCTAATTATTTTACCACCTTCTAATTAGCTTGGATTACTGCTCCGGAGCCTCTAAGTGGCTCGCTTAGCTTACGTATAGTTTCTAAATGCCCACTCTATATACAGCGTAGCTATAAATAACTATATTCTTATTCTATACCTCTATAATATACTTACTATAAACCTCCTACCGCCGCTATAGTAGTTCTATAACTTCTTAAAGAAAGCTAAGCATGCGCTTATAGAGCACGTAAAGGCGCATGGCTATAGCTTAGTAAAAACCTACTTAAAGAAGGATAAGAAGGGCCTAGAAGTAAAGAAAGTATAGTTTAAATACTACTTTAGAGGTATAATAGAGCCTATAAACTATATATATAGTACCTCTACTAATAGAGTAGACTATAAGATAAATAGTATACTTACTTAGTAGCCTTCTAGCTTTAATAGTAAATATATATAGCTATAGAAGATAATAAAGGCCTTTTATAATAACTATTCTACTCTACTTAAATTAATAGTAGTTGCATGTAATAGGAAGCGCTTAGTATTAATAAACTAGCTTATTTAAGCTAATGTATTAAGCGGAATAAGGCCTATAGAGACGCACGTAAAGCTGCTTAAGAAGGGGGTAACTATTACTCTAATAGATATTAGAAACGAGCGTATATAGTAGCGGAAGAAGCTTCTTAATAGCCTTACACCTATCTAGGCGCTCCTTAATATATTAGAAACCTCTATATTTCTAGCAT